GTCCACTTCTCCACTGATTGCGGTCTCCTCGGTCCGTTCGTCGAAACTCCGCCGAGCTCGGTGGTACCTCCGACGGCGTTTTGCCGTAGGCCTCTTCATCGTACCAGTCGTCCTGGTTGTCAGTTCCATCTCCTGGCAGCTAATCGTCGTCTTCATTTTCCTGCTCGGCGTTGTGACGCTGAGCCTCTCCTGGTTCGGCGGCGGTTCCATCTTGGGCTCGTCCACCGCTCCGGCCACGGTAGCGACAGCGGCATGGTGCCTCGTCGTCGCCTCGGGAACCCTGGGCAACGGCAGCCCCCTGGGCAACCGTCGTGCGATGCATCATGCATCAAGAATGTGTCGGAATCTGTCCGGTTCAGCACGGGAGTGTCCAGAAACTGTTTGTCGTCGCCGAAACCATATGGGTGCGATGGGGCTCGGAAACACGCTCCGCTACCAATGCATCGCGCACCGTCTCGCGAGCAAAATGATATATTAATCTGCGTAGTAGCTAAAAGGGCCCCCCCTCGAGAAACAATCTGTATGACAGGCGCGAGGGGTTAGAGTAGCAGCCGCACTAGCAGGGACCAGAAAATGAACATAAACATGATTACTATTGCAGGCGGGACCTCATGGCGTCCTGGGTGGCTGCGAAATGCGCAACCGTCGCGAATTTCGTGGGTTCATGGGGGGTCAATCGGAGTGAAGGCACTCGCTGCTACATGGGCGGCTTGAAATGAACAAATGTAGCCACTTTCGTGGGCTCCTGAGAGGTCCACCGGAATGGAGGCACACGCGGACAAAGGCAGGACCTCGCGGATCCCTGGCTGGTTGCGGCAACCGTCGCCACTTTTGTGGGTTCCCGGAAGGTGCAGCGGAATGGAGGCCACGCGGACCCAAGCGGAACCTCGTTGCTCCCTGGGGGCTGCGAACTGCACAATTGTCGCCACTGTCGTGGGCGCCTGGGAAGTCCAGCGGAGTCGGGGGCCACGTGGACCCAGACGGGACCTCGCTGCTCCCTGGGTGGCTGGGAGGTACAGCGGAGTCGGGAGCCACGCGGACCCACACAGGACGTCGCTGTTCCCTGGCATGCTGCGAACTGCACAATTGTCGCCACCTTCGTGGGTTCCTGGGAGGTCCTGCGGAGTCAGGGGCCGCGCGGACCCAATCGAGGCCTGGCGGCTTCCTGGGAGGCTATGACATGCGAAAGTGTCGTCGCTCTCGCGGGCTCTTGGCAGGCACGGCGGAGATGAGGGCAGCGCGGATAGTACATATCAGGCGATATGTTTTTTTGTATGGAAACTGGAGAAGGGGTTGGGTACGTCTCGGGTAGTGTATGTTTCGCGATAGCGGCCGTTACTGGCCCTGCCGCCATCCCAGCCTCCGAGTTGTCTCTGGATGTTCCGAAATATTCCCAGACAGCGCTGGCGCGAAACGTGACGCTGCCTTCCCCCAGCCGTAACGACCTCTAGCGCCCGGGAATTACAAAACGCTCTCACATGCTGTCCACAACCCGCAGCGGCCGCGGGCGCGACTCTTTTGCCTTGAACGGGCCACGCACGCGGCGACGCCGACAGCGAGTCTTGCTCAAAATGGGCAAGAACTGCTGCTGGTCATCGCCCCCATTCTTTCCGTACCCACTTACCCGATCCACCGGCCGGCTGTGGACAATCGGGTCGGACGAAAAGGAAGGTCAATAAAACGGGGTCAGCGAATCTCTGGCGCCTCCGGGCGCCAGGGGCGCTACTGTATCGCGGAAAGCGCACGGCGGCGGTGCCGAAACTCGGAGCAGTGCAATTTGAGACAACGGCAGCTCAAAATCGGTCACAAGACCCCTCCCCGGGTCCAAACGCGCAAATCGTCCGAGCTGCGTCCAGCCCTGGCGACGAGGGGTCCTTCCGAATGCCAGCTACCGTTGTCTCAGCTCGCCTTCGTCTGAAAAAAACAGCTGTGCGCAACAGATTTCGCCAGCCCCCTTCGCTGGGGTTCCCCGTGAATATTTCAAGACTTTGGAAGGCCAGAATAAGCCTGCGTGTGTAGCACGGGCGTGTGAAGTCGTCGGCATCATATCGCATAATGTTGTTGAACAGTTCTAGACGGGTTTGGAGTAGTCGTCTTGGGTATGGTCGTTGTGGGCATGGTCGTCCTGAATATGCCCAAGCGAGTTAGGAGCGGTGGCACCGTTAAAATAATCAACGGGCACCACGCCCTTCCCAGATCCAACCGCCGTCGCCCGACCCGAGACACGAATGGCGGGGCGGCCAACCTCTGCCGCACCTTGCTGTGTGTTCCGGGAAACGACCGAGGAGTCGATCCTATACCTGAGTCCGTAGGTCAAGGCGAAGGAGGAAGAGGTTAGCCACTCTTTTCCCAGGGCGCTGCGCGGAGAGCAGCGCGGTATGTATGCCATAGTCTGCCAATACCTTGAGCCAATACGTTAGCGGTATATGACGATAGAATGGTGGTATGAGCGGACTTCACACACACATACACACACACACACACACCTGCTCCGCAGCAGCATCCCCCCGTTCGCGAAGGCACGGCATTCACCCCAAGCTCGGAGCGCGCGATGCCTCGCGCAAGCGGGGCGCGGGGCGAGGGGCGGGCCGAGGACGTCCCGCGGGCCGCGAGACGAAGCCAGGACCGGGATGAAATCGGACTGGGGTAGATCGGGGACCTCTGAGATCTGGCGGTGCTGAAGGACGCATCGGGCGCCGCGGCCCTTCCGGGGCGCTCGGGGAACGCTCTGGAGAGCTTCCTGGAGCGCTCTGGGGCGACGCATCCCGGTTCTGGGCCCGCCCGAGGCCAAGCAGAGGCACTCACCGGACGGCGCGCTTGAAGCACCGCTCCCAGGACGCAATGTCCTTGAAGGGGTGGAAGGCCGCTCTGCCCGGGTCGTCGCACTCGCCCGCACCGATCTGGCCAGGGCCCACACACACGTCGTCGCCGACCAGGCCAAAGTCCTCGATCCTGCCAACGCCGATGAGGTCCATGCAGCGGGTGAGGAAGAAGTCCTCCCCCCACTCATGCCATGGCAGGGACTTCATGCACTGCTCGCCGTGTGCCACGTACTGCCGCAGGGCCGCCTGAGAGAAGATCTCCACCGAACCGTACATCATGGGGAAGACGGACGTGCCAGGCCACGCGTTACAATTCACAACGAACAGCCGACCGCCATGGTTCACGTTGTTTGTGTAGGGCTCCAGCCTCCATCGCAGCCTATCGGACAAAAAGACGGCGTCAGGGTCTGCTTTCACTGCCCAGTCGTGGTCCCAGACGGATCCGTCCGCGAAAATCATGTCCCAGACCTTCATGTAGAGCCCTGCGTTGCCTGCAACGCCATCCTTCAACACCTCGACCTTTATCTTGGGGATCTCGAGAGTCTCCCTGCCAGCTATGGTGGTCACGGTGTCCGAGAAAATCGTAAAACTGTCGCACGCAAAGATGCCAGCCGACTTCTCCCACTGATACTTCACCAGCTCGAGCTCGTAGGAGTCTACCCTCACGAGCATGAAGCAGAACAGCGAAGGATAGCCTGCGAACGCAAGACCCCAGCTTCGGGTGCCGAGCTCCTTGCAAGTCCAGGTGCTGTTCGCACGACACTCGTCCGCACAGGTCGCGTGTTCGCTGTCCCTCTGGTAGCACTGCCTCCCCCTGCCGACGCAGCACGAGGTGCCGCTGCAGTCCTCTCCGTCCTTGGAGCACGAGTCCTTGACCAGGGCTGGACCTAAACGTTGTGTTTCGTTTTGTTGTCGTTTTGTGTTTGGTTTTGCTCGACCTGTCTTCCTGTACCTCCCAAAACGAAAACAAAGACATGATACCAGAGGGAAACCCTAATCAGAATATGGATTGGGGTTATGGGGCTTTGTGGCTAGAGGGCTCTAGGCCGATGGGCTATAGGACTATAGGATTCTGAGCTCTTGGGCTAAAAGTCCTAGGGCTATTGAGCTATAGGGCTATAGGACAGGGATATAGGGCTAAAGGGCTGTAGGGCTATAGGGCTGTAGGGTCATGGGGTGATTGGGCTATTGGGCCATAGGGCTAAAGGGCTGTAGGGTTATAGGGCTATAGCACTATAGGGCTATAGAGCTATAGGGCTCTAGGGTTATAGGGCTACAAGTTTATAGGGCTGTAGGGCTATTGGGCTATGGGGCTATAGGGCTATAGGACTATAGTTGTATAGCGTTATAGGGCTATAGGGCTGTAGTGCTATAGCGCTGTAGGGCTACGGGGCTATAGGGCAATTGGGCTATAGGGCTATCGGGCTATGGGGTTATAGGGCTATACTTTCATAGCGCTTTAGGGCTGTGGGCTATAAGGCTATAGGGCTATAGGGCTATTAAAACTATGGTGCTGTAGGGCTATCGGGCTGTAGGGCTATTGGGCTATAGGGCTATTGGGCTATAGGGCAATTGGGCTGTAGGGCTATCGGGCTATGGGGCACCCGGGCACCTGGGCGGGCCGCCGAAATCGGCGACGCAGCTCCCGGACACCCGGGCACCGGGGCGTGCCGCCGAAATCGGCGGCGCGCCTAACCTAACCATATGAATCCGCTAAGACATCTACAGAGGCAAGCTCTGATAGGGGAAGAACACAGCCGAAATCCAGCAAAACAGCGTTTGGGTCCAGCCCTGCGAGTCCTTGACCCACCGGCCGATCCTCCCGCCGAGAGGCCCGGTGGGCACCTCGGCAGGGGGCGGTGGGGTCCGGTAGCCCAGCTCGGTGCACGGGCTCCCGCCCTTCTGAGAGCAATTCGGCCTGCACTGGGCCGACCGGCCGTCCACCTCGTAGCACTGGAAGCCGCTGGTGGCGCAGCATCCGCTCTCGCGGCAGTCCTCCGCGTCTCCAGAGCAATTGGCCCCCGTCCAGTTGCCAACGGTGGAGAGCGCCGCGGAACCGATCTGGCGGCAGCTCCACGGGTCCTTGCCGTCCAGGTCGAAATACTGGGGCCCAGGCGTGCACTGCGGCATGCACCTCGCGAACGTGCCGTTCTTGGCGAAGCAGGCAAAGCCAGGATCTGCGCAGCACTTCGAGCCTGCGCAATTGTCGTGGGCGTCGTGGCACTCCTCTGGGCCGACCGGCTTGCCCGCAGAGCGCTCGCCGAACTCCTTGCAGGTCCAGCGCTCGGGGTCGACATCGGCAGGGTCGGGCGCGCCCGGGATGCAGCGGGCCCGGCACATCGCCCACCACCTGAGCGACGAAAAGAAACGGGTCTTACGCGAGGTGGCGCAGCGACCTCACGCGGTGACTCGTGCGGGCCGCCAGCGCGGCACGCCGCATCAGGAGCGGGGGCGCCCACGCGCGACCTTACGCGGGAAGCTTACGCGCCATTGTCGGCGCCGTCGACCCCGTCTGCTTCCGTCGCATAGGTGCGCTCGCGCCATGCCTGGCATCCTACCCCCCCCCTCCCACCCGTCTTTCCGCAATGCGCTGTTTCGTTAGATACATGCACCTGTATGTGTATATATATATATATATATATATATATATATAGTTGCATGCATACATACATACATACACACATACATACATACAAACAAACATACATATGTACACATACATACATACATAGCTAGATATATATACACATGCATACACACACATTTATATATATACACATGCAAACATACATACATACATACATGCATGCATGCATACATACATACATACATACATACATACATACATACATACATACATGCATGCATACACACATACACATACACATACACATACACACATACACATACACATACATACACATACACATACACATACACACACACACATACACATACATACATACATACATACATACATACATACATACATACATACATACACACACACATACATACATACATACATACATACATACATACATACATACATACATACATACATACATACATGCATGCATGCACATGCATGCATGCATGCATGCATCATCATACATACATGCATGCATGCATGCATGCATACACACATACATACATACATACATACATACATACATACATACATACATACATACATACATACATACATACATACATACATACATACATACATACATACATATACACAAACACACATTATATATAACACATGTGTGTACACACATATATATATATATATATATCCGCTGAGAGGTGCCATAGCGGACCTGGAACACCCAAAAGGACCCCTATCGTGCCATGCGCAATCAGAATTTGGGAGCTGCGTGCACTGGAAGAGGTGGCGGATGAGCAGGAGGGTGAGCAGGGGGAGCAGGAGGAGGATGAACCTGTTTTCTTCCGTCGCTCACCTGTTCTTCTCGTAGCACTGCAGCCCAGGGTCGGAGCAGCACTTGGTTGACCTGCAGTCCTCGTAGCTCGCGGAGCAATTCGCGCTGACAGGGGGATCCATGTGCTGGTGCGTCAGGTTGGCGTCCTTGATACTCACCGCCGTTTCCGTAGGTCCTCACGAACGGCGAACATCTCCGCATCCACGCCCTCGCGGTCCGGATTCTGGGGCGCAATCCCGCAAATGCGCGGTCGCACAGATGCGTTCCGTGCGGGGCTTCCGCGACAAAATGCCCCGTGTCCGCGGGGTCGCGGCCCACCGACCCGCGAGTCCGCGAATAGTGAACGTTTTCTTATTTGCCACTGTGACATTGGGCGGACAGGGAGGGGGGAGGGGGGGGGGTCTGGCTCCAGACCTCTCCTGAATGCGACTGCTTGCAACAGTGCGTGCTGTGGGGGAGACTCCACCCGCTTGAAACAGGCGCCAAAAAAGCCAAGATCTACTCCATGGGTGGGGCAGGGTGTGCGAAGGCCCTCGCCGATCGGCAAAACAATGAGTAAGGGAACGATCACATACGGATATGTGTTTCGCCCACGAGGTCCGCTGGCGACAGGATTCCCAGTCTGGGACACCGGGGGGCTCTGAGAGTCCTCAGAGCTCTGGAGCGCTTTCAGCTTGGCAACCTCCTCGTCCAGGGCTCCCTGGCTCTCCGACTTGGCGGCCTCGAGCTCCTCGTCAAAGACCTCCTCTACCTTCAGGGCCGCTTCCTCCGGCAATGAGCATGGGTCTTCTTCGTCCTCGATGTCTTCAATCTCCTTCTCGAGAAGCTCCTCGACCTCCTTCTCTTCTTCTTCACTCTCACTCTCAACCTGCAACCTACGGAGCCTTGCGGCCTTCAACCGGCGTGCTTCATCTCTGCGGACTTGGCAAGGGTCCTCCTCCACGGAGAGGTCCATGTCGTCGTCGATCTCTGCCACCTCTCCCTCGAGCTTCTTCGCGAGCCTGATTAGCTCACCAGTCGACATTTTCTCCAGCCGCTCCCTGGCAATTATCTCCGGACGTTCTGACAGCAGCGGCGCAGGCTCCCCGCTCTCCTCGACCAGGCTGGTGGCCTCGCCGGCAGCGGACGACACAAAGGAGCTCCTTGTCCTGTGATGCGCCCTGGCCAAGCGGCACGCGACTACGGCAACCGCGGTCACGATCAGGGCAGCCAGAGCGACCGGCGCCAGCCGCCTCTCGGGACCCGTCAGAATCGCATCGCTTAGTATATGATTAGGTCGGGCCTGTCCTCCTACAGGCGGATTGTGGACGAAAAATAAACAAATACCTCCAAAAGCATCAACAATTGTCAAAGTAGTAGAAAAATCACACCCATACTATTTCTGGGCTATTTTTGGATATGTGAAGTAAGACCTACTAGGAATGTAAGACGAAGCCAGGACCGGGACAAACTCGGACCGGGACAGATCGGGGATCTCTGAGATCCCGCGGCTCTGGAGGGAGTCTCGGGCGCCGCGGCCGATCCGGAGCACTGCGGAGCGCCCTGAGAGAACGTTCCAGGACGCGCTGGAGCGATTTGTCCTGGTCCTGGCCTTCGGTCGGGCACGTCCCCCTGCAGGCAGATTTTGAAGAAAAATGCTCCAATAATATTCCCAAATTGTCAAGAGATAATGAACAACTTGCCCCCTGACTATTTGTTTACTGTGTTTGAATATCCCTCCTGTAGAGGGACAGGCCCAATTTAATCCTTGCCCCACCTGGAAGTGTGTACGTCGGATCGGGCCACATCGAGACGGATGGTCGAAACCGAATCGGATCGGCCGCGCCAGGATGCAGAGCAGCGGCGTACACGGCATCGGGCCGCGTCGGATCGTCGGAGGAATAATCGGAATCGAATCGAGTCGGGCCCGCCAGGGTCGATATCGAATCGGCTCGATGGGATCGAAGTGGGCCATGCGAGAGGGGTCCTCGATCCTCGAGCCTCGAGCCTCGAACCCTGGCTGGAGACAGGGCATCTGGCTTCCGGGTCGGAACTCGGGTCTCTGGCTGCCGTTCGGGCCAATCGGGGCACCCCCGGAACCCTCTCGGCGAGGGTGCGGCTGCTGAAGGCGCACCGAGGCTGGAGAACCGCTGGGAATCGACGAAGACGTCCGAAAAAGTCGAGCCTCGAATCGGTCTCGGATCGAAGTCTGGGCGCGTCCAAGAGGTGGGCGTCCGAGAGGGGGCGAGTCCGAGTGGACGACGGGAACGACGACGACGACGACGACGACGACGACGACGACGACGGCGACGACGACGGCGGCGGCGGCGGCGGCTATGTTAAGGGGCAGCGACGACGACGACAAAACTCACAAACAGGCGGTGAGCAAGTCCCTCCCCTCTCCTCCCTCCTCCTCGTCGCACCTCTCCCTGCGCTTCCTCATTCCTCCCTTGTCCCTCCTCCTGGGTCCGTCTCCTTCCACCTCCGTTCTCTCTCATCTCGGGCGAAGAGAACTATGCACATGCACCGATCCTGGCAAGGCCCATCCTTGACCCAGGATCGGTGCATATGCCTTCCTGGCCAAGGTAGGAGGGCGTATGCACCGATCCTGGGCTCAGGATGGGCCTGGCCAGAATCGGTGTATGTGCATAGTTCTTTTTCCTCTCTCATCCTCCCTGGCGACCGTCCTTCTCCTTCCTCCCGCATCCTCATGTGTCCTCCTCCTCCTCCGCCCTCCTCCGTCCTCCCTCCTCCTCCCTGGCAGGCGTCCCCCCTCTTCCTGGCGGCCCCCTCCCCTCTCCTCCTCCTCCCCCTTCCTGCTCGCCGTGGCCCCCTCACTCCCCCCCTCCCCCCTCCCCCCTCCTCCTGCCTCCTCCAGCTTCCCTCCCCGTCTCCCCTGCTTCGGGGATGGACAGACCTCCCTTTAGTAAAACGTAGTTTGGTGAAACGACCTGAGGCCCAAACCTGGCGGGCGCAAGCCTGGAAAATAGCGGCCACGGCGCCCTCCCGAGAACCGAAAACGGACAATCCACTAATCGACGTGTCACTGTTGGGGGTTCTGTCCACCCCCGACTGCTCCTCCCGAGCGGCCGTCCGCTCCCCTACCTCGAGATATGATCACGAGGCCCTGGCTGGGCAGGCGCCGGACGTGCAGAACGAGCGCCTCGCTCGAGACGTCCCCACGCTGCGGCAGCGAGTGGGCGGGCGTTCCGCCCCTCGGCGGCTCCCCCTCGGTGAGGGGCAAGGATGGGGGCGGACCGGCATAGCAGGGGCAATATCGACCTCATCAGAAGCGGCGATGCATCGCCGATGGATCGGCGATAGGCCCCCGATAGCGGATCCGTACGTTCCTGGGCAGGTTGGGGCTATCGGGCCACTATCTGCGATCAATGAGCGATTGGGGGTCGATGCATTCCCCCTATGCCTATCCCCCCCTATCGTTGCCCCTGACTTGGGGGCTGCAACCAGCGTCTCGCTCGAGACATCTTGCAAACATGTGCTCCCTGGTGGCTCCTCCCTCGGGGGTGCTGCAACTGGCGCCTCGCTCACCACGTCCTCGCAGTCTGCCCCGAAAACATAGAGACGGAGGCGGGCCAAGGCCGGCGCACCGCTGGAAGAATCCCAACGAGCTGGGTGCGAAGTGGCGCTGGCGGCTCCCCCACTGCAACCGCGGAAACCAGCAAGTCGGCCGGGACACCCTCACAATCTGCTCTGAAAGCGCACCGCAATCCCAACCACCAGACAGGCAGGCAGACCGATGGAGACATCCCCACGCCGTGACCTCGAACGGGGCCGAGAAACCACCCCTGGCGGCTCCCTATTGGGGCACTCAAACTAGCAAATCGGCTGAGATATCGCGACAATCTGCGAGTCTGAGTGCGCGTGCGTCGCAAGTCCAACTGCGAGTGAGGCTGATTGCGAGTGAGTCTGAGTGTGAGTGACTCTGAGCGCGAGCGAGTCTGAGTGCGAGCGAGTCTGAGTATAGCAATCTGAGCGCGAGTAAGTCTGAGTGTGCGTAGGTCTGAATGTGAGTAAGTCTTCGTGATTCTGAGCGCGAGTTAGTCAGAGTGAGGGAAAGGAGGGTGTGAGTGAATCTGGGTGTGGGTGAGTCTGAGTATGAGTGAGTGGGTCTGAGGGAGGAAGACGAGGGTCTGAGTCTGGGTGTGGATGAGTCTGAGCATGAGTGAGTCTGAGTGCGAGTGAGTCTGAGTGCGAGTGAGTCTGAATGAGGGAGAGGAAGGTGTGAGTGAATCTGCGTCTGGGTGAGTCCGAGTATGAGTGAGAGTCTGAGTGAGGAAGACGAGGGTGTGAGTGAGTCTGGGTGTGAACGGGTCTGAGCATGAGTGAACCCGAACAAAAACGAGACGAAGTGGGTGGAGAGGGATGTGAGGTGTGAGTCGGAGGCGTCAGGGCAATAACAAAAAACCCATGTGGAGCGTGAATGCCTGGACAACCTGGACAACACCCCGAAGTTGGAGATTGCGAGCGTCCCAGCGTGGCCAGTGCTCGGGAGAGAACACCATCCCCAATCATGGCAGCAACATACCTAGTTGGGGATGCGGCCGGCGCTGAAGCCAGAGAAGCGGGCGCCCCCCAAGACAAAAGCGCCCTCTCTGGGCGACCCCTCGTGGACGCCCCCATTGCCAGAGAACCGCCGGGAACCGCCGAGAAGACGCCCAGAAGCCTGGAGCTTCAAGTCGACAACGGATCGAGGTGGGAAGAGGAAGAGGCAGGAAGAGATCCCAGACATGCGCGTGCCGTTGAACACATCACGACACGACGGAGAGTTTTCGGCCGTCTGCGGCCCCTGGCGGGCGCCGCCGAGCCCCAAGACCGTCCAAAAACGACTCGCGATGAAAAACTAGGTCTGGAGAACAGGCGGGGACGTCCGTGGACCCCGCATTGGAAAATTCACGACCTCGCATGTCTGGGGTGGGAGGGAGGGAGGGAAGGAGGAGGCAAGAAAGGAGGAGGCAGAAAGAGGAGGTAGGCAGGGAGGGGAGGGGAGGGGCGAGAGGAGGAAGAGGCAGAGGAGAAGGAGACATGTGTACACATGTATATCTATATATACACATACAAACAAACATAACGATATACATACATACATACATACATACATACATACATACATACATACATACATACATACATACATACATACACACATACACACATACATACATACATACATACATACATACATACATACATACATGCATACATACATACACACACACACACATACATACATACATACATACATACATACATACATACATACATACATACATACATACATACATACATACATATATACATACATACCTACCTATCTACGTACATACATACATACATATATATATACATAAACGCATCCATATATATATATATATATATATGCATATGCATATGCATATGCATATACATATACATATACATATACATATACATGTACATGTACATGTATGGCAAGCGGACGATGTCAATCGTCAATCAAAGCGCACGAAGGCCGCCCCTGACCATGCCCACGAAGAAGACGCCCCCAAGGCGAAGCACAGGATGTGGAAGAGCTCCAAAAACAGCGAACGCCGATCACCCCGACGGAATACCTCGCCTGCAACACTGGAAACGCATTTACATGGATCCGACCGTAGCTCGATACGGCCCATACAATAGTGAAATCACTGGTCAACGGGCAACCCCACCTACCGATGAACACCTCAAAACAAATCCGAATCGGGATTGTCACACCCGCACACATCCTCACGGCCAGGAAATCTACAGTGTTATTTCCTTCACGGTTGCTTCAAAAACCAGTGGGCACCGAAGATGCATGCGGATTGCACCTGTGGGCCACCCCTAAGAGCGCCACCAGCAAGAGAGCATCGCACCAACACTCCACCAAAAACTACACTCCAATTGAGACAATGCCGAAACGGACCTCCATCGGCCAACATGAAGCCAGCGAAACGCCACATATACACGAGCACTCGTACCAGTGAGCGACAGACGCGGCTCAAGCCGCCAGAAACCGCATATTGAAACGTAACGGGCGAGTGGGTAGATGCACTGCCAAACTCCCGCGTGCAAGAAAACGACTAATTGCCCCATTGGCCCCCACTGCCGACGCGACTGTTGTTTGGCGCGTTCGTGCATACGATCGACGAGAACAACCACATCACTGCCGTGTTGAGGTTGGCGATAGGCTGAAGAACACCTGGTACAACGCCATCTTCCGTCCACAACGGAGCCC